AGAGGTGAGAGTGGAAGAGGGAATTTCCAAAAAGTCGAGGAGATGGCTTGGCTAACCTATTATTAGTCCTCTTCCTCTCCTCTCCCTCTTCTTCAGCGTTTGCCTCTTATAGATAAGCACTAAGAGTAAGAAAAATTACCAAAAATGCTGTTTTGATTTTGATTTGAGTATCGGTAGTACAGCAAAAGAGGGTTTTTTTCAAAAGAGCTCAACATACTTTGCAGAATTCGAGGTACGTGCAATACAAAGAAGGGAAGCATGCAGCCGTCACCTTCCTCACCTGTTACCGGAGAAACCAGCACCAACTGCCCATAATGTTAAGAACCTGGATAGGAAAATGTCTGAAAGGTAGTGTGATTAGAAACCTTTCACCGGAACAATTTTTGTAAAATGTGGAACATGTTAGCGCAAATAAGGTAATCATGCGGGTTTTTCACACAAGTGCAAGAACTGTGTACCAAAGCCAGAACCAGAAGATAAAGAATGAACAATAAAACCTGCCGACACTTTACTCTGCAGAGTTTATTTCAGGTAGAAGAGGCCCCTCTGCTTATTTACGGATTTTGCAAGAAACTAACCAACAGCCTGGCAACAAACGGTGGTTGTAGAGTCTGCTCCATAGTGACAATAGTGACCCGCTGGGCATACCCCAGGATTCGCTGGTGAGCACTGCACAATTACTCCTTGGGAGCGGTATGGAGCTCCAATTTTGCATGGGTTAACTGGAAAAGTTTGGGTTGGAATGACCTGCTCTAAGAAAAGTACAGGAAATTTGTCCCAAAACTTTTTCTCACCTTGAATTTAACCTTAGAAAAAAAATGAAAAAGTGGTCAAGTAAATTTTAAACACGGTGATTTCTTCATGCATGGCACGTTCTTCAAAATCCTAGGATACTACTGATATTGTGAATTTGAAAATGCTTACTAAGACAGGAGTTCTCGCATTCTTGTCTTGAGAGGAAGTTGTTTTCGTTGCCTTGCAGACCACGGTAAATGCATTGCTGGCATTGCTGCGTTAGCGGATTAAAGTACCATCTGAAATTTTAGTTCTTGATAACTGTTCGCTTTCTGATGTTGGAATTTTAGGGTAGAACTTTAGACACAGTTTAATCGAATTTAACACAAAACGTTGCATCAGTGCTGGCTACTAATAATGCCTTGTTCGATAAAATTTTTCTCTTGCTTTTAGATTTCAATATAAATTCTTCCTTTTTATTTTCAATTAGTATACTTAATCGAGAGCCAGAATTTTCGGTAATTTTCTTCTCATCCTCAAATATTGCTAACAAACACATTTATTTATCATTGCATTTCATTCTATCTATCACATGACTTAGATGCTTTGTGTTTATTTGGCTTGACGTTGCTAACAGGTAAAACATGGATTTGCAACACAATGCTTTTTCCATTTAAGTAACATAGTCAACGAAGCAATATCCGCAGTAAAATGTCCTGTGTGGTATTGTACCAATAAGCTTGTCATTTGCACATTT